TATATATATATATATATATATATATATATATATATATATATATATATATATATATATATATATATATATATATATATATATGTGTGCCCCTTTTAAGTGATTCTGAATATCTTGCTTAATTGGCACTTCAGGGTGCAATTTCCACATTTGGCCATATTCACCTTTTTCAAGGAAATGATTGGTTCGTGTTACATACGTATGATTAATCACTTGATTTTTCTTTTCTGTAGCCTAGACAAGCATAGGATTCTAATATGCTACCAAAAATCCTTATTTTTATACTTTTGTGGTTTTAAATATTCGTCATTAAAATTCTTATATTATTTATATGGTTTCTTATATTGTAAATCAATTTTTCATTTCTCAATTTGAAATATATTTTAATAAAAATATTTTTTAAGAGGATCAAATAACTTATGAACAACACTCGCTAATGCTATTTTACCCTATAAACGACCGTCTATCCTATAATATCAACCGGAAAATTAAAGGGGTAGAACATTATTTAGTTGAATAGACTTTTAAAGAGTCAGAAATTTATTTACCGAAGCGCATTCAAAATTTTAAGTTTATACTTAAAATTCTTATACTTTTAATGAACTTTTTCGTACAAATATACGGCATATGCGAAAATTATCGGGTTCACGTGAGTCTGTAACCTTTAATTTGCACTAGATCAGCCCTTGCTCATGTACACCAATAATCAAAAGACATCTTACATAATGTGTTTTTATTTGTTATAACAAATTATTTGCCATTTTTTCTTAATTATCAATCTATACTTGCTATAAATATACATATATATAAAATATATTAGGTCATTGGAAAAACAAAAAATCACTATCAAAATGTATGAAACTTTCCAATATGGCATTTGCAAGTTGCAACAAATGCACGCCAACGTTGAAAAGTCCATTAACTGTATTTTCCTTTTAGTGACTATACTTCACATGTCCAAATCCAATTGTCATATCAAATTTTTCTTCATTAGGAAACAAAAAATTAATGTTGTCATAATTTTTTTTACTTTTTTGCAACAAGGTTTCCACTTTTAGAAGATCAAATATCCCCATTTCCTTACCTTGCCTCATCTAAACATAAATATACATGCATATTAAAAGCTATTCAATTCTTACCTTTAATTGGCATATTCAATTTCTTTACAATCACTAAATTTTATCGATTATAATAATAAAGTCACAAAATTATCTTTTGTCATATTAAGATAACTAATTTTTTGTAATTATAATAGTAAAACTAATAAACATTATGCACTATAACGACAAAATCTACCCTTAAGGTGACTTTAATGTTATTCTTGTAAAAACTTATAATTTTACTGTTATTGTTAATAAAGTTCAGTTACTTTTATGTGAGAAAAGTGTTAATAATCTGTGTTCAAAATCAGAAAATCAAAGAAAAAATAAACGTTAGTTTAATAAACAAATCGTAAAATTAATCCGAGGCCACAAGTTGTTTGTATGTCCTTAAGGAATTTAATCCCGTCACTGTTGCCCAAGGTTATGGATTACTTCCTCCACTAACTATAAAATATATCCACTTGTGGATTTATAAATAATAAAACCGTTAATCTAATTTGCATTAGTATACCCTTCCATTATCGCGAGATATTTATTATAGTGCAAAGTATAATTTTGAGTATATTTCAAATATCTCGAGACTCATTTTATTGTCATGATAGTTCAATGCGAACTTCCTTATGTCGTAGACTAATACGTCTAGACTTTCTATTGCATATCAGATTATTGAGTACACTTAATGTAGCAATAGTATATTATAACAACAGCTGGACTGATCTGCATTAGTTGTGGCCATAACTTTTTAATATCTAATGCATTTTGCAACCGTTCCGTCTTTTCTAGCATTTGTATGGTATTTATTCTTATTCCGAGATAAAATACAAGTCTATATGATATGCAAATTATAGCACCTTCATTCGTGAAACAGAGCCAACTTGCAATGAATTTTGATCATGTTCATCGGTTGGTTTACCTCATTTTAGACCAACATATTAATATATTCGTTCATGAACGGTCATGTTTATACAAAACATACAAACGCACTTTTCATGAAAAGTCACTGTCACGACCCGGATTTTCCACCCTCGGGAGTCGTGATGGCGCCTACTCGTGAAAGCTAGGCAAGCCAAGCATTTTAGATTCACTAACTCTTTTATTTAACCCTTTTTAACAGTTTAAATCATCATACGATCAACAGAGAAATATTAACATTAATTAAATACACGCGGAAGACATAATCTGATAACTTAGCCAAAAAAAGTACGACAACATCAAGTACATCTTTACCCGGAACCGGTGTCACAATATCACAGACCGTCTACGAATACTACAAACAAATGTCTAGAAAGAAAGATACAATCTTTCTCTGAAGTAAATGAAAACAGAATATAAAGATAGAGGAGAACGTCGGGGCATGCGGACGCCTGCAGGACTACCTCGGGATCTCTGACTGGACTGAAGGCAGCCACCCAAAGCTATGGTCCAAAAGCTGCCGCTCCGGGATCTGCACATAGTGCAGAGTGTAGTATCAGCACAACCGACCCCATGTGCTGGTAAGTGCCTGGCCTAACCCCGGCGAAGTAGTGACGAGGCTAGGACCAGACTACCAAATAAACCTGTGCAGTTATATAATATACAGCGGAAAATAAACAGAAATAAACAAGTAAAGATGGGAGGGAAAAACGTGCTGCGGGGGAGTATCATTTACCAACAGTAATTTAAGAGAAAAGCATAAAGAACAATTTAAAACTCACAGCAACAGAATCAGGAACTCGTAATCAATCAACAAGTACTTTTATTATCTATTATTGCGGCGTGCAACCCGATCCAATCATAAAACACTATTGCGACATGCAACCCGATCCATATCATTTATCACTGTTGCAGCGTGCAACCCGATCCATTTATATTATTATTGCGGCGTGCAACCCGATCCAATTATATTATTGTTGCGGCGTGCAATCCGATCCAAATATAATATTGTTGCAGCGTGCAACCCGATCCAAACATAAAGTTCAACACCAATCACGCAGAGAGTCCCGGCAAGGGATCAATAAAGAAACAACACTATCCCGGCAAGGGAATCGACATTTTAAGTAAATACGTCCTGGCAAGGGAAAATCAGCTATAACCAAACTTGTTCCAACATCTGACTTCCTCAACTAGCACCAATACTCAATCATAAGTAATTTTCACGGGAATAATCATAATCCTTGCTCAACACAGAGAATCAACAACTTAGGCATTCGTAGTATTTATCAAGAACACAATAATTTCAATTTAAGACTCACGGTCATGCTTGACACCGACGTATAGATACTCGTCACCATGCCTATACGTCGTACTCAACAAGTAACATGTAGAAAATAGGACACAACTCCTAACCCCTCAAGCTAAGGTTAGACCAAACACTTACCTCGAACTTCCATGGCCAACTCAAGCCTCAAACACCGGTTTTCCTTTTGAATTTGGCTCCAAATCAATTGTATCTAGACATAATCGACTTAATAACATCAATAAATGCTAAACAATTCGATTCCAAGGCTTAATTATAGATTTCTATCATTCTTCCCAAAAAGTCAAAAATCGACCCCGAGCCCGCTTGGTCAAAACACGAGGTTCGGACCAAAACCCGATCACCCATTCACCCACGAGCCCGAATATATAATTGGTTCCAAAATCTGATCCCCAAACAAGGTCTAAATACCAATTATACAAAAAGCCCTAACTCTACCCAAATCCCTAATTTCTACCCTTAAGAACATGATTTAGGCCTAAAAATCTAATGGGTGTTAATGAAAATTGAAGAAAATGAGTCTAAGATTACATACCTATGGATTTGTGGTGAAGCTCTCTTTCAAAAATCGCCCAATTTGG